TCTATATATATATATTGTGTGTTTGTATTGAAATATGTTATATCGTGACCTGAAACGACCAACAGCTCTCCCTTATAGCCTCGAGTTGCCTTCTACACACAGTATGCAGTTCGTTGCCGAACTCCCAGCAGCGATGTTTGCCTTATACGTGTTCATAAGTTTGAGCTCACCGGAACAACCGGTAAGAAACGACGGGAATAGTGAGATACCGGGTTTTGAATTTATGCAAAGGTTCCAAATAGTCTACACGCACACATAATCAATGCCATCATTCCGAACTACGAAGTATATACAATGCATCAGTATGGTTGATCTGAACGTGGTCATTTCTGCGCTATGACATATATTCGATGCTTCGGTAGTGTGCCGTACTTGTTTCGCAGTACTTTCACAAATGCATCGATAATATCATTCTTAAAAAAACATCATTGCAACTTTTGACTCGTGATGTCAACATTTTTTTCACATGTAGTACGACAATCCTTGGTGACTCAAACACTGTCGCTTGAAAAATGATTCGATCCAAATTTGTGAGAGTTAAATTAGTTCTAATAGTATTGACAAGGGCAGTGCGCTCCAATGCAATATTCACTATACAGGCCTACTACGACTCACTCAGACACCCTATAATCATGATCTGATACTTTTTTTCTCCTAATACAGCGCATTCCAATTCAGTGGTACTTATGCAGTTGTACTGTTGTGAGGGTTCCAGCACTGAAAACATACAGCAAGTAAACAACATTATGCCATATATTGAATTAAACCGTATGTTTATGACGATTGCAGAAAATTTATCATGTAACAACTAAATTTATAGTTGTTCAGTGACTTCGAAAGTGGAGATAAGATTCTCATCCATCTGTAGATATGAATTTTCTCTACGGTCACACTGGATGCTTCTTTTCGCCGTTGGTGTCTCCGTTCTGATGTATCAGCTTTCACCCAATGCCGTATCATATATATATATATTTATATATATATACATATAAACACACACACACACATATATATATATACATACACACACACATATATATACATGTATATATCTGATGTATATATTTATATATACATATACATATATATATATGTGTGTATGTGTGTATACACACATACATACACACGCACATATATATATATACATATATATATATGAGCCTTCTCTAAATGTACGTAGGCAGAATGTGGTTTGTTTATACCTATAGCGCAAATACAAAGCACATTGTGTATTGCTCTGATATAACCTGTCATTCTTAAAAATAAAACTATCAAGTCCAAAATGTGTAGCTGCAGCTATGCTTGACCTGAAATGCTGTTAAAATAGGCTTGGTGCATCTACTACCTTTTGTGCATATCAGAATATAACCACGGAGATTGGCAATAGCCAGGAATATGAAACACCAAAAACAGAATACGGTAACGAGCTGTTAAACTGACGCTAATCGTTGTTTCAATCCTTGTAAAATTAACCAGGTATGTGCAGCAAAACTCGGTTGTGACTAGCTAACCTTCAATTTATACCTTAACCATATATATATATGTACAATGCTCGTAATGCAATCTGTCAATATATACATCTACATATATATCTATCAATATATACATACACAGTATATATCTATCAATATATACGTACACATATCATATATGTAACATTATTTAAATTGAATTATAATTACATACATATATATAAATATATAAATACATATATATATATATATATATACTAAAAGTTTATATTGAATTATATACATATATATAGCACACAATAAATAATGTACGTGCACGCACTGATAATGCAATCGAGTTGAAAAACACAGGCGTACAAGAACATCTATTTCGCAAAGTCACATGCGTGTCAGAAAGACATAATTGTTTAAGGTACAATAATTGACAATCTGGTTTTTATAACACGTGTGCGGTTGAGGGACATACTCTGTCAACATCTGAAGTCGGCAAGTGAATTCTCTATTCTGCATTAGCAAATAGCATTCAACATGATCTGATTCCATAGATCCGGCACACCGGGCAAACACCAGTGTGTGCAGTCGTGGTGCCCACCTCTAAACGCAAGAGCATCGTTTCTCCGCAATGTAAGCGCTTCTACATCCAGTAGTAAATGATTTGGGTGTTCAGCCACGACCGGCTTCACATGCTTTCTCAGTATATCATTCATCGCACCCACGTTGTGCATCTGGGTGGTTTCGTCAGCCTGGAGGGGATGCTCGAATGCGCATGTATTCTTCGAATCGTATTGCATCGAGGTACTCGTGCGCCACACCACTGTGCCCGTGAAATTGTTGGATACGATGTAATTCACAGTCGTCTCAACTGCACGGTCATACACTCTCAGTAATTGCTCGGTGCCATTGATGTCGCTACTAAGCCTCAGTTCGGGATACTTGGCAAAGTCTACAGTTAGAGTGTTTCCCCAGTGTTTCATAGTCCACCAATGCGCCAGGGCCAACACTATCACCGAACTATTTTGAGAAGGTTCCGGACCTGTGACAAGATTCACAAGGTTTGCCGACACATCATAGGGGTGCAAGGAAAACACAGTCTGGTTCACAACGTGGAAACCTACCCACCAGTTCTGTTGAGCCCATGTCACTGTTACATTAAGCTTCCTGCCCTTCTCTTCGTGTGAATACGTGTGCGTTTTAGCATTGTCGCGGAAATTCAGTCTAACTGGAATCATATCATCCGTACTTTGAGCCTTTGTATACTCTACAGTATACCCATCGTTGCCCACTACAGGGTTTGTTCCACTTGTGTCGAATAACTGACCACCCAGAGATAACCCCATCTGCCGCGACAACGAGTCGCCGTAATAGGTTAGATTAATACCAGCTAGACACTTGAATATGTCAGACCTGGACAGAGTTCTTAGTGGCTGTGATGCCAGAGACCTTTTACTCCCAGATGTAGCGGTGTAATTGGTTGTCAACAGCCCCACAGTACTATGCGACGCCTGTACACCACTAACAGGCAGCCACCGCCAGTTCAAATAGTCCGTTCCATTCACCACCGCAGTATCCTTGAACCAGATACAATCCTTATCAATCGACGGGAACTGTGTGTAGCTATGCAGGTCACGCTGGAATATATCAGCCTGTTGAGGTTCGTATACCCATTGTCCTTTTAGCCACTCTGGATTGATAGCCGGCACTGTTTGTTGTGGCTGAGCTGTAAATAGATTTATATTTCTCCACGTTGCGATACTGAAACCTCCGGCACATTTGTGAAGATAAAAGAACAAACTGGATACAAGTATGAAAGGTAATATTCTAACCAACATACGGCGACTATTAATAAAAGCGTGGAGCGCCGGCATGGTTAGCACAGCCCACCTTGACTAAATGCTTCCTAACAAAAGTTAGTTCATCATGACCCTCTGGGATTGTCTCATAGAAATGATTTTGACATGGCTGATGGCCCTCTAAAATTATCTCTTAGAAATAAAATTCTATCTCATGTGTGTGTTCTTTCAATTTAGAAGGTTGTGTCATGTGACATGCCTTTCTTATCCGGCAGTGACATTTCCACTTTCCAACATTTCCCAGAGGGGGTCGTTGCCACAGCCTAACTATTTTAGCCTTTTTTAGGATGCTACATCACGCGGTCATGCCATTTTATTCGCTGTTATAACGTATATGTGGGATAGCTATCCTAAAAAGAAATGGAATCGGACTATATGACTACATAGGATTTGCATATTGCCCCATAAATCCCAAATGTGGCACCGGAATCGACATACAGATCAATTCAAAGCAATAGCCAGCTGATTTTTTTTTGTTATACAATTTTAAATGAATAAAAAACAGATATATATTTGTGTTTTTTTTGAGAAGAAGGCTATGATAAAAGGACTGTTTAAAATTTTAAAAAGAAGGCTATGAAGGACCAAATATTTATTTGAGATATTTATTATTTTGGCGGTTCGGATGTGCTACTTTGCTTTAGCCCCCCCACCCCCCCTTTGTTTTTGGGACTTCGAGTGCATTTGTGACTTTTAAGTTCAGGCTTCAGGCATAGCCTTCTAAAAATTGAACAGGGCTACATATGCTTCAGGTGTATTTTCGACATATATGGGCCTGTTTTGGTCTGCCACTGTGCCACAGAAACATTTTTAAATACATAAAATATGGACAAAGTTCCGAGTTCGATATTCAACACTGACGACTATAAATATATACATAAATAGAGACCTTCCGTTGTTGTCTTCGTAATGGGCGAATATAGAGTTTTTTTTATAGGAATTGTATTTATAATGGCTTCATATTGGCTTCAAATTGGCTTCACATTGGCTTCATATTGGCTTTGAATTGGCTTTATATTGGCTATGAATCACCTTCATATTGGCTTTGAATTGGCTTTATATCGGCTTTGAATCGCCGTCATATTGGCTTTGAATTGGCTTCAAATTGGCTTTTAGTTGGCTTCAAATTGGCTTTTAGTTGGCTTCAAATTGGCTTTTAGTTTGCTTCATATTGGCTTTTTCGAGACCCAATCTGGCCTGAAACCCTATGGGTACAAATAGGGGTCAGGACAAAATTGTAAACCAGGACCCTCTCCGATGGCTAAGCCAAAGCCCTGTGTTCTTCATTTTCAGTTCAACTTCAGTGTTGTGACTACTGACTTCTTGTGTGCGTGAAGACTGAAGTTGTGACTTGTGAAGTTGCCAGTTTGACTTGTGAGTTGTGAGCTGTGAGCCTGTGACTGTGAGTTGTGAGTTGTGACCTATGAGTTGTGACTCGTGACTCCGTGAGTCTTGTGAGTTGTGACTCTTCTTTTGAAAGTGAACTGTGGACTGTGGAGGCTGAAGTGCCCTGGGCGGGCTGGGCCTGAAGCTGCTGTGAGAGTGGAGTTGAGACTTGAGACTGGTTTGGTTGTTTTTTAGAAGCTAAATACATATTTTTTTATTCTGTAAAAATAAGTTCTTGAGAGGAATTTCCGGAAATTGTAAATTTTAGCGTAGACCGAATCCAGAGGGTCGTGGTTTATTTTTTATCCCTGTGATTCCTATTTCCCCTGTGCTACCAGAGAGTCACAGACTGTCAGACTGTCAGTAGACTCACTACTCACTACTCAGACTATCACTGTCACATGCGTGTGGGACTATAGGCTCACTAGTGAGTCTGCTGGTTCTGGGCTGATATGCATTATTGTCATACGTGTTTGTATGGCGTGCTGATGGATGTGCCCTCTGACAGGTGACTTAAGAGTGGTTGTTACATAAAATATCAATATATCAATATATCAATATATCAATATATCAATATATCAATATATCATATATCAATATATCAATATATCAAAAATATCAATATATCAATATATCAATATATCAATATTTCAATATATCATATATCAATATATCAATATATCAATATAGCAAGACATCAATATATCAATATATCAATATATCAAGACATCAATATATCAAGACATCAAGACATCAAGACATCAATATAGCAATATATCAAGACATCAATGTATCAATATATCAAGACATCAAGACATCAAGACATCAATACCTCAATACATCAACACATCAATACATCAATACATCAATACAACAATACATCAAGATATCAATATACCATATATATATATATATATATATATATATATATATATATATATATATATATATATATATATATATATATATATATATATATATATATATATATACTATATATATATATA